GGGGGCAAGAGAAAGCGAGGGAGAGAAAGGAGGGGGGGCGGCGGAGGGCGGCGAGGACGCTGTTGCAAGGGGAGTGGGGGTGATGCTTAGTGCCGTTCTAGTTGACGCATCAGTGTGTGTGTGTGTGTGTGTGCGTGCGTGGATAGTGCCGCCTATCTCGCGGCACGGCGCGCGCTGCTCTTAGCGCGAGCGGCTCTCGGGATTGTGGTGGCACGTCCGGAGCCCCTCTCCTCCCGAACACCACCCCCCACTCACCCCACCCCATCTTTGGGGGATATACAGAGGGGTCCGCCGCGCTGCTCGGGGGGTTTGGGGGGAAGTGGGAGCGGTGGCGAGGGGATGGGGGGCGTTAGGGTCCAACCGCAGGTTTTGCCTGCGCTGCCGTTGCCGCCGCCGCTGCTCTGTCAGTGGCACACTGCCGGTAAACCGCTACCGGACCCGCGCGATGGAACAACTGCTGTTACTAATGTGATAAACTGAAAACAAAAACCTGAGCGAGGAAAGAAGTCACGCCAGATGTGAAAGTATTAATGCTACTCCCATGCAGAGAAAGCAATATGATGTCAATAAGTTTCTTGGAGTTACTCCACAAACTATTTGTTTGTAAAATTCGTAAGTGTTTCACTAGTTTAACAGTTTTGCACGTTTTGGGAAACTATGTGTTTGTATGTTTCGCAGATGCCCTCTTGGTGGGATGCACATCATGTGGTGGTTATCGTCTCTCTCTTCCTTCGGTCGCTTAACCCCCCTCTCCCCCCTTTCCCGTCCTGCGGCGCCCGTAACCCCAAGCGGCAGCAGTAAGGTTTCTTTCTATTTCCCTAACAAACCTGAAACAACAAATCCCGAGACGTTTGCTATGGAAATGTAGGCCGAGTAGGGGCAGCAAGGCAGGGAATTCTCAAGCAGCAGCAGTGGTGGGGCGTGGCGGGGGCGTGGCGGGGGCGTACCGTGGCGTACCGGGGGCGTGGTGGGGTTGCGGCGTGTGGGCTGCTCCCGTGAACCTCTCTCCCCTGGCTACGACAAGAGGGGAAGGAGGGGTATTCATTTTATTTCATTCACGACAACGCGAGCCACCGGGGGACGGCTGCACCGCCTCTCGACCACATGCGGAGAGAGCAGGCCAAAGAAACACGGGGTAGGAAACACAGTCGTGGGAAGAAAAATAAGAGTGTGATATATACGTACTTTCACTTTTTTGGCACTTTTGATGCACGTATGTATTGTTCTTATTTGGCACGGTCACCGCACTGACACGCAATCTCACGTCGACACACATATAAAACACACACGCACATCCACACACACGCACACGCACGCACACGCACACGTCCCGCACACGCGCGAGCGCTTTCGGCGCAAGGGGACCGCGATGCCGCCCACGTGACGCGGAGGTGGCCGGCTAAGGCGCCGGGACCGGAGCCGAGCCGAGCCTTGCCGGGTCCCCTCCGGACCCCTGCTCGCAGCACACTGGCCCAGTGAGCGGGAGAGGGAGGGGATGCTGGAGCCTGCCCCGCCCCGCCTCACCCCGCCCCGCCTCACCGTCACGGCGCGGTGGGGGCGGCGGCACCGGGGCGGGGCGCAGGGCGCGCGGTGGGGCGGCACCGTGGAGGGGCGTGGC